TAGGTTTACTTGCGAACCCAAGTATTTCCTATCAGATAAATAATAAAATATATAAAAATAATAATATACTCTCACATACATTTCAATACCCAAAATGCTATCACATTTAACTATTCAGTTTAATTTTAATTGTTACTTTTGATCTTGAGATCAAATTGAGATATTTTCTAAAAATCGGTGGACTAAATTTGGGCATTATAAAAGTTTGGGACTAAATTGGGCATTTATTAATAATCGGGGGATTATTTTGAACTTTTATTCTTCGTCCACATATTTGAAGATTTGCAAAAAAATTATCTATGTTCTACGTAATATTCTTAGAGAAAGTGCAGGTCCTCATAAGCTCCAGCATTCTTTGTTTTAGTAACTATATCTCTCCTGTAATACTTCATATTTTTGTTTTTCGTTCTCTACCAGCTTTTACTGGTCTCAAAAACATGCCGACGTTCGTGTACATCTTAAGAAGAATGTCGGTTGTTGCCTAATATTTTACAACAAGGATCCTCAAATTCTTTTTGGAAGTTTTTTTTAATGAATTATAGTCATTCTTTTAGTTGTTTTATCTTTTAACATTTCCTCTTGATACTCACATGTATACCTTTATTTTCAACTTTCAATCATATCTTCATTCTGCATTAATGTTGACACATTTGGATTCAATATGATCAAAAATGGAAAATATATGCTCTTAGTTCTCTCATTCATCTATATTAGTTTGCCAATCTAGATGCTCCAATTTACTTGTATGATGTTTAACGATTTAGACTGAACTCTTCAGGTTGCTTGCGAAATGCTGGAGTGATAGCCTGCAAAAAGGCCAACATTCGGGGAAATTATTTTTCGGCTATCTTCAATCCAGAGAAACATATTGCTCAGAGCAAGTTGGAAGGTATACTTTTAATTTTCTGCATTTTGTTATTATATTGATGAATAAAATAAAATTCTTGTGACATAAAGATTCAGAAATTCATCTAGCTGATTGTGTTATCTAATCCAAGAACCTGAATGTTTCTTAGAACCATTGTTTAAAATTGCGTATTCGGGTATTGAGGCGTTTTTCATTCGTGAGGCGAGGCATAAGCCTTAAGGCTTTTTGAGGCGTAAGCCTCAAGGCTTTTTGAGGCGTAAGCCTCAAAATCAAAAGATTGCGTAAACATAAAATGATAATTTTTTTATATACTAATGAGTGAATAATATAAAACATAAAAAAATATAAGATATGAAGTGAAATTAAAATATCCTAATAATAAGACAACATGAAATATATTTCAACTCAAAATTCTATCTTTCCCAAATCCCAGTATTCTTTTCATTAACATATAATTCAACTTTTCAAAAATAAATAGCAATGTCATCACATAAGAACTCATAAGTCATCAGCACTGTCATCACTAAGGGGTTCTTAATTTGAATCATCATCATGATGAACTGCTTTCTTCCCTGAATACTATACCCAGTATTCTTTTCATTAATGGGGCATTGGCATTGGGGAGGTTGGTTTTTGGCAGGATAATTCGTTGGGCCCTAGTTCTATTGACCATTACCTGAATACTAATACCATTGTTAATACTAAGGTTAATCATTTTTTCTACAATGGTGAGTGGAACATTGTTAAGCTTCAGGAAGTGGTTCCGAATGTTATCATTGAGTAAATTATTCAAATCACTTTAAATTTGATTGTCAAGGATAAAATCATTTTTAATTTGTCTGTATCTGGTAATTTTAACTTAAAGGATGTCTGGGATGAGGTTAGAGTGAAAGGCGTTACTTCTACGATCTTTTAAGTATCTTTGGCATAATAATATTCCTTTATCCTATTCCCTGCTTTCTTGGAGGTGTCTGAAAAACATGTTGCCTATTGATAACATTCTTTGGAAAAAAAGGTTTTTGTATTGTTTCTAAATGTCAATGTTGTTTCAACATTGAGAGCTTTCAACATGTTTTTGTTAATGGGTCTATTGCTATTAGCGTTTGGTCTCATTATTTTAATCTTGCGGGCATTGGTGCTTTCAATGATGATTATGATTTGACTGGTATTCTCAAGATTTGGTTTAATGATTGCAAAGGTCATATTCATAATGTTCTTCCTATTGTTATTATTTGGTATCTTTGGAAAGGTAGAAATGATTACAAACATTTGGGTATTAAAATGAATGCGAATCTCATTATTTCTAAAATTAGGAACAAAATTCTACAGCTTGTTGCTGTGAATCTTCTTTCTTTTAAAAACTTCCATAATAGCAAACTTCTGGCGGTGCACTTTGGGATTCAGAATAGTATTATTAACAGTAACATAAATTGTTTTGTGATTTGGGCTAAACCCACTGAACCCTTTGTTAAATTAAACACTGATGGGTTTGTGAAAATTAGTAAAGCTAGTATGGGTGGCATTATAAGGAATCATCTTGGTAACCCCATTGCAGTTTTCTCTGGTCCTCTGTCTTTTTGCGATGTTTTGACTTCTGAATTATTGGCTTTGGATCATGGTTTACAATTATGCTTAAATATGGGGTTATATAATGTGAATATTGAGGTTGATTCAACTCTTGTTATTTATATTATTACCGAGAAAGATGTTTGTTTTCCCCATAATTTTTATACTATCGGGAAAATTAAGATGGTTCTTTCTTTGCTCAATTTTACTATTTCCCATATTTATCGTGAGGGGAATGCTTGTGCGGATTGGCTTGCTAACTTGGGATCTAATAGTGATATTTTACTGGATCATCCTGTGTTTGATCTGCCGGTTCCTCTAAAAGGTATGATTAATCTTGATAAAATTGGATTACCTTACATTCGACATATTTAACGCTATGTTTTGGGTTGATATCTGTGAGCTGGGCCGGGGTGATTTCTTTTTGCTGGAGCTGGTGTTGCTTGGCCAGTTCTTTGCTCGGATGGGTTATTTCTGGGAAGGTTTATTTCCCATTTTTATGGGATGACCTGGAGGTTGAAGTGTAACTGGTTTCATGAATTCTGGAAGTATCTCGTTGGTTTCGGCTCTGTGTGGTTTGATATGAAGGATTATTGCGTTAGGAATTGGTATGGCTGGAATATTGCTTGGTACTTGAACGTTGGTTTGCATTTTACGATTGATGTTGTTATCTATAGGCCGGGCAAATTTTTAAACTGGAAGCACTTTCTTAAATTAAATTTTCTGCGGGAGTTGGTTCACCGGATTCTCTGTCTGGGTGGTTACAAAAAGCTGAAAGCCATATATATTTACTATATTAGTTGTTTGTCTTCTAAAGCTTCTATTCTTTGGAGAATTTATTGCAGGTTTCTAATCATCTGGGGTTGTGGGAGCTATAAAGACTACAAGGTTCTCTTCTTTTATTTTTCGCATTTATATTCCTATTTCTTTGTGCCTTTTTGCAGGAAGTATGAGCTGAAAGAATTAAAGTGGATCTTCCTTTTTTGGGTGCTGTTTACTTACAGCCCGTGTTTTTCTGATTGTTATTTTTGTAATCTTAGGACAAGGAACTACCGGCTCTTAGGGGTTTTTATTTACTTTTTGATTGTAGCTCTTCGGAGCAGTAGCGAGCTGGTGGGTCCTTTTAAGGATGGTGTAACCGAATTTTGATATTAACACGTAGGCCCCTCTGTGGGTTTATCCTTCTGCTCTCTTCCCTTCCTTCTCTCCTATATAGTCCAATGTCGGGCATTTACTTCAAGATTTATATAAGTTTTAATATATATAGCGTGAGGCGTAAGCCTCATGCCAGTGAGGTGAGGCGGGCTTCAAGGCGGGCCTCAACCAAGTTGAGGCGCAAGCCTCATTAAAAAAACTTGAGGTGTAAGCATCGAGGCTTTTTTACTGGAATTGCGCAAAGGCGAGCCTCATATTGCTTAATTTTAAACCATGCCTAGAACTTGATGGTTTTCAAAAATCTTATAGGACAATCTTGAATCAAAATAAAATTTATGGCCATTGAATTTATATTAGGATGAGTGTAATACATGATTAATCAATTAAAACTTTTAGTATGCATCTCGAAGTAATTTTACTAGACAAAGTTTATCATAACAAAATTTTCATGACAATATCATGTTCAAATTTTTTTTTATATTTCTTTTAAAGTAGGACATCTCCAACCGAAAAATCCTTTTTCCTCCCCAAAATGTAGTAAAACTCCAAAATGCGGTAATTCGTTTCCAATCGAACTCCATTTCTTTTTTCTCTTTTGTGCGCTTCGTCATCTCGTTGCATGCAAAGGTAATCATTTTTCTCCTCTTTCGCCCTTCTTTGACAAATCCCATAATACATTTTAGCGTAGGTGAAAAATACGACGTCAATATTGGGTTGACACCGCATTGATTATCTACCAAATTTTAGCGTACGATTTAACGTTCGAATGGAGCGAGTGATGGATGGCATACCACCATATGCAGTTCAGTTGGAGATAATCTAAACTAGTCAATGCAAAAGTCCTCATCTCTTAATTGTTTAAATTAGTTGTGTCAAAAACATAGACATCTGTACTCACAGAAACTTTTCCATTTAATGGAATCTTCATCAAAATTTTATCCATCAACATCATATCCTTGCTCAAAAACTGTATCATCAGCATGGTAAGAGGTTCTTTTTACAAACAATTATAAAAATATTTGCATAGATTCTACTATGCATAATGAAGAAAATTATGTACAAATAAGAGTAGTTATTTTACCACAACAGCACAGGACCCAGGTCCACACTTCTCAATGAAAATCCTAACCAAAGCTATGACTACCAACTTCCATTGCAGCCTTGCAGGCACAGGAACAAAACTCTCTATGACTGCCACAATATGTTTCCATGAACTCCTCTTTCGAAGTTATGAAAATAATTTTGGTTAATATATTGGTTTCCCAGCTCTATTCTAGCTAGCTTTTAAGTTATAAAAATGGAGAAATTATTTCCTGCGGAGTCTGGACGTAGAGATACGTCCGGACATCCATTTAAAATTTGACGTGGAGTGCACTTTTTTTGTGCGTTTTACTTGCACTTTACCCGCGTTTTAGTTGCATTTTGACTGCTATTTTATTGCGCTTTTTTACTGCACTTGGATTAAAGTTCTGCGGGCATATTAAATATATAAAATAAAAAATAATTCCAATTGAATATCTACGTATTCACTCACGTATCAATATTTTATTGGAGTCCAAACGTACTTGAACTTAGAGTTACATTCTGACTCCACGCTTAATAATTTATCATAAAAATGTTTAACATATGGTTTCTCTTCTCTATATTTTAAGTCATTTCAGTAAATTATTATTAAATCTGCATGTGGAAGCAGTGAACAATTCCTGGGTATCCTATCATCAGCAAGAAATTAATATGTGCGCAACTAATTATAACTACCCATTAGTTGTTCGCATGTGTTTGAACCTATTCTTCTGCAACTAATTATTTTTCATTTGTAAAACTCAGAAGCTATTTAGAATTTTTTGAACTTCTTGCATTCTTCTTTTTAAAATGGTAAAAAAGCAAGCATGTGGATCATCAAATCCTACAACTAAGTTTGAACCATTTAGTTCTTTCAGCCAGTTAAATTTGTATTGGTTGGTGTCCATGGAGATGCCAAAAAATACGCGGTGAAAAATGGGAGAAATTGTATGGATCTTTACTCTAACACTTTCTTCTTCTTTTCACACTCACATCCGCTATCTCCAGATGCGAATTCAAGAGTTTCTCTCAAGTTTTCTCTCCTTCAAAATGAATACAACTCCTTAAAATGAAGAAAAAATTGACACAATCGACCTACAACTCCTATGTGCTAACTCCTTTATCTCACATCACCATGGTGTTGAGTTACAACACTACGACGCTAGCACTATAGCGGTGTAGTGTTGTGGTTTTTGTCTCATAGGGGTTCCACAACATCTTAGTGCTAAATTTACAATGTTGCGGTGTTGTACGAACAAATTTGCCCCTGAACTCCCGAGTAGGGGCGCACTGCTCTGCTGCGCCCTCCAACGAGCTCCTCATCGAGCTCAACCAATGATATTAAGATCCGAGCCAATAACACATTCTGATTGATCAACACAATCAGATTCCACACAAAACTAACAGTGCATCACCTATATTCTTAAAAATAGCAATCTACACACTCCTTTCATTTGACATCTTTTTTCTTAAAAAAGTTTAGAAATTCCTTGTTCTTTTAAATATTTATATACTTCTATTAGATATCACCAAGTCTTTTTATAATTTTGCAATTCATTTTTTTAAGGTCTCTCTAACTTTGATTTTACTAATTTGATAATGAAAACAAAATTTTCTATTTAGGGTGCTAAGGTCACTAAAATTAATTTTATTCTCACAATCTTCATTGAAAAATTTATCGAAATATCTCATCCACTTATTATTATTATTATTTTGGTTAAAACGCTCTGTGGGGCCTACGTGTTAATATCAAAAAATCGGTTATACAGTCCTTAGAAAGATCCTCCAGCTCGCTACTGCTCTAAAGAGCTACAAGTAAAAAAGAACCAAAAAACATATGAGCCGGTGGATCCTTTTACTACAATTACAAAAAGAATCTAAGTAAAAACTCGGGCTGTGAGTAGACAGCACCCAAAAAAGGAAGAGCATAGTAATCCCATTCAGTATAGTCCTGCAAAGATTATGATGATAATAGAAATAGTAGCGCGAAAAACAAAACAAGAATACCTTGCGGTCATTGAAGCTCATAACACGATAAATCTTAAGGTACCTGCAAGGAATTCTCCAAAAAAAGGAGTGAGAAATATAGTAGTTAACAGAAGTTAAATACCTAGTAGTATCCCTGTTAGAGCAAAACATAATAAAAGCATAAGAAGGCCTCAACATTGCCCTGCAAAAAACAGAACAACACACTAAAGTTCCAAACTTCCTTACCAGAAACATGAGACCACCTTACTAATAAAGTTCATAGCACCGAAAACCTTCCTCCTAAGCCAGCCATACCAGTTGAGAGAGAAAGCAAAACACAATTCGTTAATCCAGACCAAAACACTCCCACCAGAATGACTATTATAAAGTAAAGACCAGGGAGAAAAATAATTCCAGTGCTTCGTATGGACATCATCCCCAAACCCAAAAATAATACACCCACCATTCAGACAAAAAACACAATTAAACCAGACCCAACACCTGTAATAGGTAAACCAAACTAGAAGATTCACAAGCCCATGCAGGTCACCAAAGCAATTCTGCATATAAAGCTTAGACTTGAAAATGGGGAGACTAGAAATATAAGAAGACATGACATGACCAAAAAACCTCCCATAAAATGCATAATTAGCTGGATCCGAAATCAAAATCCAGGTGAAAGAAACAAACTGCTCAGACGAGCAGGCCACAGTAACCAAACAAAGAGAAATCCCATAAATGTTAAACATGGTAATATTATGCCAACAATTAGCTTGTTGCCACCAAATAGGATAGTATAATAGCTTTAATCCCTCCCCCAGATTTTCAAAAAATTGTATTATATCAAGATAAGAACCCCATGCCTCATTTAAACTATACATCCAGGAAACTTCCCAAAACATATAATCCATCCAGATTAAAGTAACCACCTGAGAATCAATAGACATATGAAGTATGCTAAACCCAAACCAGCAATCCTTCCAGAATTTGGGAGGCCACATCCGGATCCTGCCAAAATCCTGAATTATAGACGAGGCAAACACCCAAAAACCAAACTTCCAACCAGCCAGACGAATGAAGTTCTCAAACATTCTGAATGTAAGGCAGACCAGCTTTATCCAAATAAGCCATACCTTTCAAAATTGGGTTTAAGTTCCCAATATCCAACTCTTCATAATTATGAATAGAACCCCCTTTTTTAGCTAACCAATCCGCACAAACGTTAGCTTCCCAGTAAATGTGAGAAATAAAGAAATTGACAGAAGTAAGAAAATGCTTAATTTGCCTAATTAAATAAACATTTTGAGGGTTACCTGGTATAACATCGTTAATGATTTGAATAAGAAGCATAGCATCCACCTCAATCCACACGTTAGTGATACCCATCTTTTTGCAAATATTCAAACCATAGTTTAAAGCCATGAGCTCAGCCATAATGGCATAGTATACGTAGCCAGCAAACGCCCAGTATGGTCTCGAATAAGACCACCAGCACCCGCAGTATTAGCACCAACAGACCCATCCGAATTTAGTTTCACATAAGGAGGCTTAGGTTTAATCCACTTAACAATTTTTTCAACAGAAATGACATTCCCATTGTTGACAGTAATGCCAAAAACACTAGTCAAATACTTGCAATGTTTAAAATTCTGAACAGTAATAATGTTATAAGAAAAGGCTTGCAAAATTTTATATCTAATATTAGAAATAATCTGGGAAGCCTCCATCTTAATGGCATTGTGCTTAGCATCATTTGTAGCCTTCCAAATATACCAAATAATAAGGATAGGAATAAAATTAAATATATGGCCTTTAGAAACAGTAGCCCAATGCTCAAGAATAAAAGTTACATTGTTATGATGAAAGTTAAAGCTTTTTTTGGCAAGATTACTAAAATAAGACCAGACTTCCTAGGCAATAGCATCATTCACAAAAAGATGATCAATACTCTCCACATTGGAGCAACATAAACATTTAGACGGAATAAAGAAACCTTTTTT